CTCAAATTGAGTCTGTATGAATGCACTTGATTACCAGGGGGTTCATGCCAAACTATATGATATGGACTATGCATGGCGAGGTTGGTGTGAGTGTTCCGCAGGAAAATGATGATGATGTGGCCAAGCCTAATGTAGCCATCCACAATTCTAACGAGGAACCCAGTGTCAATACAAAACCTATGGCCACAGTTAATGATGTGTTTAGGAACACGCTAGCTGATGACACTGATGATAACGATGGTATTTCTCAGTTGCTACATAATATAGAGACCGGATGTCTTAGTGAAAGACAGCTGAGAAACCTAAAGAAAATGAGACAAGATGGCAAAACACCATTGTATAAGAATTGTCCAATGAGCAAATTGGAAGTCGACATCATGCTGTTAGAGTTCAAATCGACAAAAAGATTGAGCGATAAAGGCTTCGATCAGTTGTTAGATATAATAAGGAAAATGCTCCCAAAAAAAACGAGTTGCCCGAAAAGACATACCTAGCCAAGCAAATGATCTGCCCCATCGGCCTCGAGGTTGAAAAAATCCATGCGTGTTCCAATAATTGCATATTGTACCATGGAGATGAATACAAAGACTTGGATGCGTGCCCCAAGTGTGAAGCTCCATGGTACAAGGAAGGACCGTCAGATGAGGGTACCAAGACCAGAGGAGGTCATGTGAAGGTCGTTTGGTATTTCCCTATAGCTCCCCGGGTGCATAGGCTGTTTGCATGTGCAAAGTCAGCCAAGCTGTTGTGATGGCATGGCAAAGAGCGTAAGAAAGATACAATGATGAGGCACCTCACCGATGGGAAGGACTAGAGGACAATCAATACTATGTTCTATAAGAACATCGGTGGAGAGGTAAGGCACCTTTGGTTTGGTTTGAGCACAGATGGGATGAATCCTTTCGACTAGGTTAGAAGCAATCATAGCACCTGGCCAGTGACGCTCTGTATACACAACCTTTCATCTTGGCTCTGTATGAAGCAGTCGTACATCCAGATGCCATAACTGATCCAAGGGCCAAGACAACCTGAGAATGGCATCGATGTGTTTCTAGAACCAATGATGGATGAACTAGTGGAGATGTTTAAAAAGGGTGTGGAGGATGTTTGGGACGAGTACAAAAAGGAACATGTCATGATCAAGGCAGTACTTATCGCTACAATCACCGACCTGCCAGGTCGAGGTTGCTTGTCTAGAGAGAAGACAAAAGGCTATACTGGATGTGTCGAGTGCTTGGACGATACCGATGTGGTATATCTACCAAAGAACTCAAAGATAGTTTATATGGGACACAGTAGGTTCCTACCTAAGGATCACCCTTACCGCAAGAACAAAAAAGATTTTGACGGGACTATTGAGAAATCCTTACCTCCAAAATATCAAGACGGGCATGCAATATTTCAAGAAGTCAACAAATTGGAGGTTGTCCTTGGGAAGGGGCACAATGAAGTAGCAGCGCCAGATGGGGGCGTCTGGAAAAAAAAAAATGATTTTCTAGAAACTACCTTATTGGGCAGTGTTGAGTGTACGCCACTGTCTTGATCCCATGCACATTACTAAAAACGTGTGCGGTAACACGCTTAACACCTTGATGGACACCGGAGGGACATCGAAGGATTCACTAGCCACACGCGTGGACATGCAACACTTGGAAAACAGGAAGGAGTTGCATCCCGTAGCGCTAGAGGATGGCCAGTTCAAACTTTTGGTTACGTCGTGGACCTTGAAGAATGAAGAAAAGCATTCGCTTATTTCTTTCTTCCATGAACCCAAAGAGGCTACTATGTGAACCCAAAGAGGCTAGTGAACATGAGAGAACTCAAGTTCAACTATGGCTGTATGAAGGCCCATGACTGTCATGTCATTATGACTTAGATGCTCTCTGTTGCCCTGCATGGTATCCTCCCCCCAAAGGTCGGCACCCCAATCATAAAGCTATACTCGTTCTTCAACGTGATCTCAAAAAAGATCATTGATGTGTCCATGCTGGACCAGTTGCAGCGAGACATAGTCAAAACTCTCGTTAGGCTTGAGATGCATTTCCCACTGACTTACTTTGATATCTCAGTGCATCTGCTCGTTCATCTTGTTGACTAAGTTAGAGCCCTTGGACCAATGTACCTGCATCAGATGTTCCCTTTCGAAAGGTTGATGAAAGTTTTCAGGAGGTATGTTAGGAACAGATTCAGACCAGAAGGGGGCATGGTTGAAGGATGGTCAATGGAGAAGGCCATTGAGTTCTGCACATATTATCTATACATCAATAGGGTCAGAGTTCTAGAATCTCATCATGAGGGAAGACTAGGTGGCAAAGGAACGATCGGAGAGAAATCTATCATAGTAGACAACCCCGTTTCTTTCAGACAGGCACAATTCACTGTTCTCCAGCAAGCAGAGGATGTGATGCCATAAATTGACAAGCATAGGCAATTGCTGCAAACTTTGTAACCGAGCAGATCGCAGGCTTGGCTTGGTAAAAAACATAAGGAGGAATTTGTCAGCTGGTTGTGATGCCGCTTGATTGGAACAACGTTGGGTAATCAGTTGGATATCTTAGCCAAGGGACCTTCAAGTATATTGCTTAAGTACCAAGGGTATGGGATCAATGGATTTACATTTTACACAAAAAAGCAAGATGGAAAGAGCACATACCAAAACAGTGGTGTTCGTTTCGATGCTCACGATGAAAACGGCAACGTGCAGGCGATGTACTATGGTTTCATAGAGGAGATATGGGAGCTAGACTACGGTCGGTTGAAGGCAGCTCTTTTTCGCTGCCAGTGGGTCCGGCTCGAGGAAATAACCACCGATAGAGAAGGGTTCACTACCGTTGATCTCACCAAGACTGCATACAAAGACGGCCCCTTCGTCCTTGCAAAAGACGTTATGCAAATCTCCTATGCAGAGGACAACAAGACAAAAGCAAAGCTAATAACATATTATTTTCTAATCGCACATAGCATATTCTAATGTTGCTCCTTTTTCGCACTTTATAATGTGGCACAATGTCCAGGCAAGAAAGGTTGGAGGGACAAAGGTCCTATTCTAGGTTGCACCAATGCAATTGGAGACCCTAGACCAACCGGCGGGAAACAATGAATGCAGGTTCTACGTAATGTGGGCAATGCTTCGCTACCTCGGCGTAAGATCAGAGGCAGCAGATGCTTTGGTGTGTATAATCCTCATTTTATTTATATTTGTTAATTCAACAAAACGATCTACTTATTTCTCTAACATTTCTGTCTTTCGAAACCGGTTTTTTTGAATCACAGCGCAAGAAATTTAAACACAATAAACTGTTAGAAATGGAGGTCATAGCACTGTCATCGGAGCTAGCATCCTTTATCATATCAGAGTGCTTGGAAAAAAAGGAACATTCTCCATTGAACAGTCTGTGAAGTACAAGGCGCAGTACGTGCCAGAGCGGCTCGCTAGCCTATTGTATTTTTTTATTTCAAGAGATCGAGAACTTCATAAGTATATTTGAACTGTAGCCATAACATTTGTAATGTTTAATGTTGATGGACCTGTCGTCTACGTAGCGAATATAAAGCGAAAACTGATTCCACCAAAATAATAAAAAATAAATTACATAAAACAATAAAATGCGAAAAAGAGTTCACTGCCGGTTTGCATGTCAAGCCGGCAGTGATGTCTTGAGCAACACTGCCGGTTCAAAGCTCAAGCCGGCAGTGTTGGCTTGAGCATCACCGGCTCGAGCCACAAGCCGACAGTGTTGGCTTGAGAATCACTGTCGGCTTAAGCCACAAGCCGATAGTGTTGGCTTGAGCATCACTGTCGGCTCGAGCCACAAGTCGACAGTGTTGGCTTGAGCATCACTGTCGGCTCGTGTCACAAGCTGACAATGTTTGCTTGAGCATCATTGTCGGCTTGAGCCAAGCCCAAGCCGATGTTGGCTCAACTGACACTGCCGGTTGGTGTCAGGATTCAATAGTATTGCCTACACATTACTGGCGGTTCTGAGTACCGGCAATGATGTGAACCTTATATCACTGTCGGTATGCCACAGTGAAGAAGGATTTTAAACCGACAAGGGTAGTGTGGACTCCCCCAACAAGTAACGACCCCTGCGAATTGGAGCTGTGTTGTAACAGTATATGCATTTGTGTCTAATCTTAGCTCTTTGGTTAAATGGTATTTTCATTTCTTTGTCTAAATCAAAGATCTAACGCCTTTATTTCCCGAATTTGCAGTCTGGCCATGTTTTTTTTTAATTGTAGTCTTGGTGCAGCCACAGCTGATCCAGAGGCTGCAAGTCTTCGCCATCCCTAACCAGACCATAAGTCAGGTGAACTATAGGCAACATGAAACTCGGACAGCGATGATATTTGTTTCTATTTGCATAAACCTGATGGCTGCAAACTATTCTTAGGATTTTGAACAAGTAAGCTAATCCTAAAAATTCCTCCAGGATCCGCTCTCTTCCAACTGCCCTAATAACAGTTCCTAGAACATACATCACCCTTTTCTAAGTATAATAGGCCAACTAGAACATACATCACGCCCTTCTAAGTATAATAGGCCAACGCATCTGAAACCCGACGCCGCAAGCGATCGTCACTTCTCACTACGACAAACTAGATCAGGGTGTCCATAAGCTCAGAACCACCGTTCCTTCAACCAATGCAGATTAATTAGTATGTCAGCCAACTATGACATCCAAATTTTAGGAAAGATGGACGAAGTGCATATCATGTAGTTCTATCTTTTATTGATATGAACAAATAAAACAAAGTACACAACTATTAGTGTCTTATAAATGAGCAGCTAACTACAGGCAGCATACATATATTTCCTCTTATTCAGAAAGTTTGATGCAAGATCAATTTGCAACGTCACATCGCTTTTTTTTTTCCTCTCGGCAAGGAAAATACAATCCTTGAGGTATATTCTGTGAACTTACAAGAACAACAATTAACAAAAGAATGTGGTACTGACAGCTATGTATGTAATTGACCGTTTCAAACCAAGTGCATCACTATCCTTTGCTTTGACCTCGCAATATGTCTCCAAAGCCGCTCCTCATTATGCGACCAAACCTTGTGCTCTCTGGCTGAGCCTGCAGGTTTGGCTCAGGAGCGGTGGGGCCAGCAGGGTCATGTTCCTCGCCACCTTCTTTCTTTGTGAGGAGACTGCTCTCACCAAAGAAACTGCTGACAGATGATGCAATCCCAAGATGTGCCCCCATTACCTTGCTGATGCTTTCCAGCGTACCTCCTGACCTTTCCCGGCTTATGATTTCTAAAGCCTCCTTGTGCGCAGGGTCTAGAGCATCCAGATCTTTTAACAAATTCTGTATTGATGGCAGAAGCAGATCACGTACACCCATAGCAGGAAGATCTGCAACGGCCAAAAGGAAAGAAAAGATAAAAGTAAACATAAATGGAGGATAGATAAACTGGTAGAAATCAACTGGTTAATAGACATTAGGTATTTTCTTCCTCCTTTGAGTCCAAATGAATACGAGTCATGGCCAAGTCAGTGTAATCTGACCGTGCATTACTAGATTGTCATAGAACAAAGGCAGGCCCAGCACAGCTACTAGTAGCATTACCATAAAACCCACAATCCACACAGACAGGAGAATAACAATGTTACAATCCAGACCAGCAGTCAAGGTTAGAAAAGTTTTGCCCATCCCTAGCCTTGCTCATCTTCGTCAGACCAGGTGAGAAACGTGTGACAGGGTATTGCAGTTTGCCCCAACATGCACCCCACCAGGCACCACAACCTTTTTAGTGGCAAATATGTAATTTCGTTTTTTTTTTGTGGCACGTAGGTAAGTGTCTCAATAAAGATTAAGGGGTAGACAAGTATAATGGCGGCTCATGCACTTAATTACCAATAAAATGCTACTAATTTGTAACTATCGACATTGAACCAAATGAAACCAACCACATTTGCTAATAATATTGCTTAGTTTGTGATGTAGATAGGCTCAAGATGTTATTGAACTGTACACACCAAGGGTACTAACCAGAGGCTGGAAAACTACAGGGTTCCAGTTTTCCAGCAGTATTCGAGTAGAAAAGCTTTTTGCTTATATTCCTAACTTCCAACATGCAAAATAACTAATTATTGAAATTTGAGACAACTTTAGTGACAGAAATGAGAAATCGGCCTACTCTTCCATCATAGGAATTATTTCTGAGTTATGTGTAATATTTGGGATGAAAACCAGAACAAAGAAGGTTCTGGACTCTTGGTTTGTAGCCCCAAAACATTATCTAAACCCTGGAAAAGAATGCTAATATAAAGATTCAGGCAGACTTGATAGGCCATTGCGGCATATATTAAGGGGAACTGGGGAAGGAATATTAATTTCAAGCAGACCAACCTGTAGCATCCAGAGCCCGGAGCGCTTCGCAGAGTACATTTGCTCTTTCACAACGCCGTTCAATATCATCGCCGGCAGGTGTGATGCTTGTCATCTTAAATATCTTGGTTAAAAGATGTGTGTCATGTCAAAGAAAGCAGAAGAGAAATGGATAAAACAATTATATGAATACATAGGCAAGCTAAAGATCATGCAAAACTTGAGTCAAGATGTAAACATGGAATTCAATGAGCAGGATATATTCACGTAGCCTATCTGTTGAATGAGGCACAGCTACTGCAAGAGCACGAATAACAGAAATAGAAGCTTCATGTGATCCATCCTCAAGAAAAGCATCCATTTGAATGCGTATTTTGTCAACAACCTAACAAAGCATAGTTAAGGATTAAAGGAGATACACAAAGTATGTAAAATTTCAAAGAAAGAAAATAAGAATAGTTCTTTACCATGTCATTTTTGAAATGCTGAGCAACAGCTCCAAATGCATCTATACTGGCATATTTTACTTTCAAGTTTTGATCAGAGCCAAGAGTAACAAGTGCTGGCAAAATATGAGTTGATGCTACTTTCACATCAGTGTAGGGTACCTGTATGTTAAAGCAAATACAAATATCATAAAAAGCATAGAAGATCACTGAATCATTCATGTACAGTACACATACAAGTGCTCTCAGTAGAGCCGCAGCATTTATTTTCAGGCAGGTATCGGAGCTCACAACCATCTCCCACGAAATGTTAAAGATGACACTATGGTGCTCCACAAATAAGCTTCAAGCACAAGAAGTCAGATCCATGAAAACAAAGAATGTGCAGAAACATGTTTTCAAATAGTTGATTACTCACCAAAGAAACCGAACTGCATTAATGATCTCAGTAGTATGATGCATAGAAAATGAACCATCCTTGGTGTTTTGGATAAGTACTTTTCTCAGATATTCTTCCAACTGTTGATGACTGGAAGGAGAACCCAAAATACCAGATAACAATAATGGGAAGACACACATGATGGCAAGTTTTTCAGCAGTTGAAGTTTTCGGCCGCAAGCCTGTAATATAATAAATACTAAGGTATCACAAACACAACTATAGTAAACTGCCTCACCTTTTAAGTAGATGTGTTCTTACCACGGACTTTTGGCTGGATTGATAGAGGAAAATAGGTGAAATCGCCACTATCAATATCACCAGCTGCTACAAGAAATACAGGTAGCATAATGTGCTCCAGATAATCTTTGCCATAGAGTCCAGATACTTCCAAGAGGTACTAAATTATCGAGCAATGATTGAGAATAAGTACACTGGAAGATGGTCTGCTGTGTATGGGAGGTTTGGTCTCAAGATTTTACCTTTGCGATGATGGTTCTTAAGTTATCTTCTTTCACAGGCAACAAGCAGGCAAGCTTGATCAAATCCGGCAGGCAATCAGTGTGCATCCACTCAAATGCTGACCACTCTGAGTCACCTCTGTCAAGTTCCCCAAGATGTGATTACTCAAGGAATGGTACCTTTTATTGTTCACAGTCTATCTAATAATTATTTTTTGGACTAATTAAAAGGTATGATCAAAACGGAGAACTTACGCTGCACACGATTTTAGGCAGGATGCTGAGAAGTTTTCTGGTGTAGAGCTTATTGGATCAACTGATGCAAAGGGGCAAGTCTGTATAGCTTTCTGATGAATAAATGGTAGCAACTCAGCCAACATTCGAAGAAGGACACCAATATTCCAGCGCTCTTGTTCTCCTAAAACACGAAGATGAGAGTCTATTGTACCTTCAACACCTGAAATAGGTGGACACCGCTGAAAACATAACAGGTTTAGGACACATGGCTATAAGAAAATAGAAAGTTCCCAATATTCATGAGCAAGCTTACCTGAGCAGATGCCAGGATATGAGCCAATAGCACTCTTGATATCTGATCAAGTTTATCTCCCCATCTTACTACAGCAGGAACAAGTTCCTTGAGTGCAACTTCCACAACTGCCCCAGAGGGGTCACAGACCAATTGGAACATTAACTCCTCAACCTACCCCGAAGAAGGAAGAGTCAAAGGACTTATAAATGACAATATTATCTCCATTTGTTGGTAATCTGCAAGCTCTCAATTCTAAACTAAACAAAATGTCCAATCTTACCCCACAGCTTAAAAGTAGCTAATTCTGTGAAATCTTCTACCAATCACTGATTCTAAGCATAAGTGAGGCTGACCTTATAATATTTGTCCAGGTTTGGAAACATAGGAAGAAGCAATGCCAGGTTATGTGTTGCAGCTTCCCTTACAACCACTGCAGCATCCTCAACGAGTTGTTGCACAATGGATAAAATCAGGGAATCTCGTATCTCTGGACGGACATAAATGGCAAGTTCTCCGCACGACTGGGCAACAAGCAATCTACGCTCCTCATATTGGTGGTTTATCTAAACACCAATAGATTATTAAATGGAAGATCATGTTCTAAAGAAAGCCAGAACATCTACCAAAAATGTAAAATACCTGTTCCCAACATTGTGGAAGTAGCTCAGTTTCTGTCCTCATCTCACCAATGCTCTTTGCTAATTCTACACAAGCCTGCAAGCACGTGACAAGGAAAACAGGAATAAGTACCCAAAAAAAAACAGTATGATGAGAAAGTGTATACACTCATAGGAGCATACATCCATTATGATGCGTCTCTGTTCTCCATCAGGCCGTTTTATCAGGTTAAACAATGTATGAGTCAAGGAATCTCGTACATCGCTATCTGGATGCTTTTCTATAGCACAAATGATCAATGGAAGAAGTTCCTGTAACCATGTAGAATTACTATTAGTTATACTTAAATAAAGATGGATGCAAACTACAAAGGTTACAAATGAACCTCACGATGGTTTATGAGCACATAAGGAACAATCTTTGGAAGTGCATCTGAAACTATCTTTATAGTCTCCAAAGCCTACAGGAATGAATATTGGAATAGCAATGAGTATCAATAGAAGTAAACGAGCCTGCTTTATACACAAAGCAGAATATATTAGGACACTGACCATCTTATCTGAACATTTTTGTTTACTTGGGCTCTCTAGTTTCTCAATAGATAAATACATGGACATGCCATCTGAACTCCCCTGGCTTTTACCAGTCATGGAAGCTCCATGCAGATTACTCTGAAAACATACATTGTTCGATGAGATATTTGACAAAGATTTATTTTCTTCTGAAGTACCATAGCTGCCATTCTCATCGGTTGTGAAAGAAACTGGAGTTTCTGAAATTGAGGAACCTTCAACACTTTCTAGAACTTGGCGATCTTTCTGTGTATCATCAGTAATATGTACTGCCGATGCTAGCTTATTTGTTACGGCTTCAGATCCTTTTGAGTCCTCATCTTCATTATTCAATGAGGATGCGCCAACAGAATTAGCAATGGAATGCGACTTCACACCATCAGTAGTTCCAACAAACAATTGCTTGCTTGATTGAGTCCCTTCAATGTACATCTTCAGGGCTGTAATTTCAGCTCTGCAGTCATTCAGCTCCTTCCTCTGGACATCCAGTGACTGCCTCAAGTCTTGAATCTTTTTGAACAAATGAAGGTTAGGATGATTCAGAAAAGTTATTGATCATCTGGATGATGATTTCTAAGAGAATATTACCATTTGTTCCTTGTCTTTTATATCTTTGTGTGCAGCATCCAAAGACTTTCTTAAAGCGGCAACCTGACTATTAGCTCCTTCCCTGCTCTTCATCAAGGAATCATTTTCAGCATTGAGTCGTTCATTGTCCTTAAGTAATGTTTCATTTTCCTTAAGTATGGATATTTTTTCCTGCAATATGTTATTATGTTACAAAAAAGGATGTTTAGAAGTTCTAGACTTCCAAGTGAAAGTACAAGATAAAGTTAAATTTGAAATTTTGAATGGATAAGGAAAAAGGTGGAACAGAACTATGCTAGTTTTGACCCAAGTAATCGAATGGTAAAGTTTTTTGCAGAGTGCAGATCGATTCTCAACTGTTCTATTCAATAACTATAATGAGACATCAAGGATTCCTACTGGTCAGGGTAGATGCAGAAATTTTTCATCTCCATTTTGTTGTTAGAAATGCCTGCTATACACATTTAACAAAATGCATCAAGTATGTGATGTGATAGAATGTATCTTGCAACAATGGGACATAACTACATAACTAACACCAACAAGCCACTTGACTACTTCCAAAGGAATGGAATGTGTAACGCATGTAATAAAAAAACTAGACTGTTATGACCGGCATCCCCTATGCCAGGTGCAGGCCCAATAGTGGCTAGGGGGCCGGTCTGTTAAGGGGCTTAGAAGCCCAATTTATTGCTTATTTGGTATTTTCTTAGAGATAGATATAGTTCCTTAATTATAGCATCTATAGAGAAGGATAAATACTTGTAATCTGGGATGATTGGAATTAAGCAGAAAGCAACAATTAAGTTGCTGGCTTCCCTTGGGAGCCAACCATCCCTGCTCTCTCTCCCTCGTGTGAACAGTACCCTCGTTAGTGTAGCTCCGCGTGAGCTCTAGGGCTACAGCAGCAGTCGCCGCACTCTCGCCACCATGGCCCCTCGCCGACATCGAGAGTACAGACCACGTCCTCCCCTCTTCCACCCCTATAACCTGCGCAGCAACTCCGGTAGGGCATCAAGTCCTATCAACCTGGTATCAGAGATGTCAGGCCCTAATCCCACCAACAATCTGCCGCCGCCGCCGCCGATCACCTCCGCTGCCGCGGTGGTCACCACCTCGCCGCTGCCCCCTGCCTCCGCGCCCGCGGCCCAGATGAAGCATGCGGCACAGATGACGCCGGATCAGATGGCTGCCGCCATCGGGAGTGACTTCGCTTTCGGTGGCTACCATCGATCCCTACGGCGGTGCGCCCACCCCGCCGCCGCAGAACCATTGCGACCACCACCGCCGGTGGTCTTTGCCGTATGGGATGCCCTACTCCAAAGACGACAGGCGTTCCCATCCATCTCCTCCGGATGCCGCCTTCCCTTCATGCCGATTCCATCATGGGCTTTAGCCTCGGCGACCCGACTGGTGTACACCATGGCGAACTCTCTCCGGCTGCGACATCAGTAGTGCCACCGCCCACTACCGCCGTTGTGGTCTTCCACGGGGGACCCTAGGCCAATGGCTTTTTCTATGGGGGTTCCAACGGCCCCCTCTTCTACGGACACAGGCACCTAGGTGTGAGTGCCTCCCGTCCACGAGGCGGTGTTCAGAGCCCTTCGTCCGAGGCGCGCATGGGGCCCCTCGAGGTGCTCACGCTCCGCGTTTCTACAAGCTCGAGTTTCACGACTCACGGCGGCTCGAGGACCCCCGAATTGGCTCAATCGCGTGAGCAATTTTTAGAGGGCGGCGTACCCTCGCCTCAGATCGCACTTTGGCTCGTGTCCTATCATCCATTTGGTGCGGCATAGACATGGTATTACGCGTTGGAGCGGGATGAGGCATGCCCACAGGATCGTTCAAGGAGCTGTGCAATCTGCGATTCGGGCGGGGCAGATTCGTAACACCCGATCGTCCGAACTTCGCCCGCCGCCCGTTCACCTCCACGGTGCGGGACTACTCGGCTCGCTCAAGCGCTGTGCTCGCCATGCCCGCAATCTCGGCCCATGAAGGTCGAGTTGTTTGTGGGCGGCCTCCGAGCATATCAATGTCGACGTGGAGCTTGAGAGCCCAGGACCTTGAGACGGCCATGCATCTGGCCCGGGCGTTGAAAGCGGCGGGCTAACGCCACTATCTTAAGCCACAGGGGCGGTGTGGCGACCGGCCAGCCCCAATGCCAGTCTTCCAGTGCCCCTCGACCCCGGCGCCCCCCCCGGTAGCTCCGTGGCGTCTGCTTTGTTCCGCAAGAATAAATGAGGTCGGCGACCCTTTCGGCCTTTCCGCCGTATGTCTCGGTAGAAACAATTGGGCGTCGCCGCCTTGGTCTCTGCTATAACTGCGACGAGCCGTATGTGCGCGGCCATGTGTGTCCGCGGCTCTTTTATCTGGAGTCCACGGATTTTCTCGGCGACAATGTTTAGCGGAGGTGGGCTGCGGTAGCGACCTTCGGAGGATGCCACACCCCAGAGGTTGTTCTGCGCCGCCCGTCCGAGAGCCCGCGCAATTGACCCATCGTCTCCTCCTGTATGCCATCGGCGGCATCCGGACCGAGAATGCCATGCTCCTTCCGGTCTATGTTCATAGCCATCGTCTCGTGGCTCCTCGACTCGAGCTCGGCGACAACTTCATCATCGCGCCGACCTCGCGCCGCTTCGCCTCTCCACCGCGCCCCATCCTTCCCGCTTGGTCTTTGGTGGCTAACGGGGACCATGTGCCTGCGAGGGGTCGCCGTGTGACGTCGCTCTCGCCATTGGTGGGGAGGAGTTTACCATCGGTTGCCGGCATCAATCTCGGGGGGTTCGATCTCATCCTCGGCGTCGAGTACCTCCGCACCTTAGGTCCTATTCTGCGGGACTTCAAGGATCGCATGCGTGGCATTCACCCGCGCGGCGGCGGCATATTACGTGGAAGGGCATTGGCTCTCCCATGATGACATCCGGGAGCCCGACCACGGCGATCACGGCTGCCCCATCACGACCCTATTTGGACCGCCTCCTCCACCGATTCGGGCGGTCTTGACGAACCACAAGGGCCTTTGGCACTGGCGCGGCCATATGATCACCGCATCCACCTGCTTCCGGGCACAACACCGGTCGCGGTTCGTCCCTACCGCTACCCCGGCTCTGAAGGGCGAGTGGAGCGACAATGTGCGACCATGCTCGCCCAAGGCATCATCGACCGAAACACGTCCCGTTCTCCGCCCCGTCTTTGTTAGTGCGCAAAGGCGGATAACTCTGGCGTTTCTGCGCCGACTACCGCGCTCTCAACGCCAAGACATCTAAAGACAAGTTCCGATCCGGTGGTTGATGAGCTCCTCGGCGAAGCGCATGGCGCCGAGTTTTTCACCAAGCTCGACTTGCGCTTGCAGGCTAGCATCAGTGCGGATGCATCGGCGGCGTCGCCAAAGCAGCGTTCCGCACACACACCACGGGCGCCGAGTTTTCGGTGATGCCATTCGGCCTCTCCAGCGCTCCGACATCGTTCCAGCCCTAATGAGCGCGTGTGCCGCCCCTTCGCGCGCGAGTTCGTCTTTGGTGTTCTTCGACGACATCCTCATTTTTAGCTCTTCGTAGGGGCGAGCACTTTGCGGACATCGGCGATCGTCCTCGGCAGCGTTACGAGTATGAGCTCCACCTCAAGCGCTCCAAATCTCATTTGGGGCCTCCTCGGTGGCGTACCTCGGCCATGTGATTTCAGCGTGCGGTGTTGCCATGGACACCGACAAGGTGGCCGTTGTGGCGTCGTGGCCGACCCCACGGTCCGCCCGTGGCCTGCGCGGCTTCCTAGGCCTCGCCGGCTACTATCGGAAGTACATCCGCGACTTCGGCGTCATCACGCCTTCACCGACTCGCCTCTCTGCGCAGCAAGGATGCATTCGCTGGTCCGATGAGGCGGACATGGCGTTCGAGCACTCAGCGGGCTCTCATCCACAGGCCCGTACTCGAGATGTCCGATTTCGCAGCGATTCACCGTGGTGTGATGCGTCCGTAGCCGGTTCGGTTGGCGTGGTTCTCCACCAGACGACAGACCGCTCCGCTCGCCTTCACCGCCGGCGTTTTGTCGACGTCATCTCAAGCTCGCGGTTTATGACGTGAGTGATCGGGCTCTAAATCCAGCCGCCCGCCATGCTGGCGACCATACCGAGGCGTCACATTTTGGTCAAGACGGATCATTCTGACCTCAAGTTCTTCTTTGGACTAACGCCTCTCCACCGTGCGCATGCACCAATGGATCGATGAGTTGTTTGGGTTCGACTTGGCCGTGGAATATCGCCCGGACGGCTTAACACCGCGCGGATGCTCTGTCGGCCGCGACGCCGAGGACAGTCTTTGTTTGGTAATTTTGTGCACTTATCATCCACGCCGACATTCGCCGTCCTCGGCGACATCCGGCGGCTACTGGCGGCGGTACGGGGACGCCGATTCTCCTTGGCGCCTCTAGGAAGGGGGCGGCTGGCTCACCTTGGTGCGTCGACGACGGTCTCCTGCTCCACGGTGCTCGCATATTCGTGCCAGCTTATGATGACCTGCGCCATCAGGTGCTCCTCCTGGCTCACTCGGCGGGCCACGAGGGAGTCTAGAAGACGCTCCATCGCCTACGCTCGGACTTCTACATCCCCGGCGACCGCGCTCTTGTCAAAGACTTCGTGCGGGCGTGCACCGTGTGTCAGCGGAACAAGACGGAGTCCCTGCAGCCCGCCGAATTATTGCAGCCCCTCGACGTTCTGTCCTAGGTTTGGGCGGACATCTCGATGGATTTTATCGAGGGCCTGCCCAAGGTTGGCGGTAAATCCGTCATTCTCACGGTGGTCGACAGATTCTCCAAGTACGCGCATTTCATCGCCCTTGGCCATCCATACTCCGCCGCTTCGGTTGGACGTGCATTCTTCAACGGCATTGTTTGTTTGCATGGGTTCCCTTCTTCCATCGTCAGCGACAGGGACCTGGTTTTCACTGGTCATGTGTGGCGTGACCTCTTCAAGATGGCCGGCGTCACGCTCCGCATGAGCACGGCCTTCCACCCGCAGATAGACGGTCAGTCTGAGGTGGTCAATAAGGTCATCGCAATGTATCTTGATTGTGTCACGGTGGCCGGGGACGCGGCGTGGGTGGATCAGGCGCCTGGGCGAATCTCGCTACAATACCTCCTTCCACACGCAAGATCGCGCGCCACACCTTTTGAGGTGGTCTGGGCCGCCACCCCGGCCATCTTGTCCTACTACGGCCCGGGTCGGCCGAAGCGGACTGGTGGGCGGCCTTCTTCGGGGCCTTGACGAGGTGCTCGCGGAGATTCGGGAAAGGCTTCTCAAAGCACAAGCAATGCTGTCCAAGAAATACTACGACGCCGCGTCCCCATGGCGACCGGGAGTTTGCCGTCGGGGATTGGGTATGGTTGCGCCTGCTCCACCGCGCTGCCCAATCCCTCGAACCCCGCGCCAAAGGGAAGCTTGGCCCTCGCTACGCCGGTCCGTTCCAAGTGCTGGAGCGCATCGGCCAAGTGGCGTACCACCTCCAGCTTCCGGAGGGCGCCCGTCTGCATGATGTCTTCCATGTGGGGCTCTTTGAAGCCCCACAAAGGTGATCCCAATGACTCTGCTCCTCTGCCGCCGCCGACATCGGATGGCATTTGCCGGCTCGGGCCGAGCGCCCTTCGTGCACAACTTCGGCGAGACGTGTGGCACGTGCTTGTCAAATGGCGCGGCCTATCAGCGGAGGACGCAACATGGGAGCCTCTCCAGCATCTTCGCGACGTCTACCCCGACTTCCAGCTCGAGGACGAGCTGTTTGCGCAGGCGGGGAGAGATGTTATGACTGGCATCCCCTATGCCAGGCACAGGCCCAATAATGGCTAGGGGGGTGGTCTGTTAAGGGGCTTAGAGGTCCAATTTATCGCTTATTTGATATTTTCTTAGAGATAGATATAGTTCCTTAATTATAGCATCTATAGAGAAGGATAAATACTTGTAATCTGGGATGATTGGAATTAAGCAGAAAGCAACAATTAAGTTGCTGGCTTCTCTTGGGAGCCAGCCGCCCCTGCCCTCTCTCCCTCGGGTGAACAGTACCCTTGTTACTGTAGCACCCCGTGAACTCTAGGGCTGCAGCAGCAGCAGCAGCCGCCGCACTCTCGCCGCCACGGCCCCTCGTCGACGTCGAGAGTACAGACCACGTCCTCCCCTCTTCCACCCCTATAACCTACGCAGCAACTCCAGTAGGGCATCAAGTCCTATCAAGACCAACCTAGGAGAAACTTTCATCCGTGGTGGAAAAAAAACCTAGGAGGAACTAGGTGGCATTTGATTAAGAAGAAAACAGGCACCCAAATTTGCCTCAATGAGGACTTGTACCTGGGTGGTCTGGGTATACACATCCACAGCCTCGACCAACTGAGCTAGCTCATGTAAATAGTTTTATAAATTCTCATTTCAACCTACCTCCCCTCTCCCAGTGACTAAGATTAATAGCAGGTCTCATTTTTTTCTCAACACGCAAGAGAGTGCATATCATTATATTAAGAAGAAAAGGAGTCTAGATGACTCATACGACCCCTAAAGGGGCACGACCAGTACAACAGAAAACACTGAAAAGGAACTGAGAAACGACCAGAAGCAGGAGGTCTCATGACATAGGAAAAAGATTTCTAATGCATTAACTATATATATTTGTATGGATGTGTATCACAATGTAATGCATCGATGATAAAACTGTAGTTTGAAAACACAAGTTTAATTGATGTTAATAATACCTCTGCAGCCTCTGCAGTAGATGAAAGGTACTGATAGTAATAACGACGAAGGGCATCAGGGACACCAGCTGAACTGTTTGGCCAAACATCAAGGTCTTGATCAGGAACCTGTAATTAAGATGATTGAGGGTATGAGTCATGGATAAGGAAATACCCCCTCTGTTCAGAACCATTTGATGATTTTAAATTAGTGATCAAAATTTCATTAGTTCTGACCACCAATATACATAGAACTATTTTGATTAGTCATATCAAAATAGTGTCATTACTCACTAGATTTGTTCTATGATAGATACAGGTATAACAGTGAGAAATATCAATGTCCATGAAAATTTAAGAAAAAAAAAAATCACAAGCTAATACATTGAAGGAAGTTGCAACAGGAAGGGAAAAGGTACTATATACCTCCTCAATGAATGTCATAGCAGCAAGTCGATACCCTGCCAAAAGCAAGTATTCTTTTACAGCACAGTTAAGATCTTTTCGCTCATTATCCTTTAGAGGGCCTAATGCTGAAATTTTTGTATCCCATTTGTCTTGTTGGCTAGTAGATCCTTCACGTATAGAAGCACCCAAAAGGAGCCCTGTATACCGAATGTATGAATCATGTCAAGCAAACCAGTGGCCAAATTAAATACTGTTTATGCAGTTTATTTTTATTTTATTTTTTTCAATTGACAACACTCAAACAGACACCTCAAGCCCAAACCACATGCAAGCCTTCAATCTCTTTTCATGGTATTTTTTCTCCTGAACCCTATAAATTCCTCTTTTCCATCCAACAAGCAAAGTATATTCTTTTGACTTTTTCTGCCAACAGATAATTCACATTACAATAAAAGAAATATAATGGGTAAAATTTAAAGGTTTAATCCAGAAAACTGAGACCAAAACCGGTTGTTTTCATTTCAGCACTACGCAGCATAAAAAGTTACAGTATACTGTAATTTCATGTATTACATTATTCATAATTTCAAGGTAAGAACAGACCATTTGAATCATCAGGAGATGATTCTTTTTGTCTTTGTAACTCAAGCTTCAACTGTGAAAGGTCCTCTTTGGCTAGGCGCAGATCATACTCCACGAGTGCCAACTTTTCTTCTGCTGCTATTTTCTCTTCTAGCAAAATCTGTGGATCAGCACCTATCAGAAGCAAAAACATAGAGTGAATCATCTTAACAGCACAGTGATAATGAAGGTACCTTGCAACTGAAATACATTTCAGCTGCCTGGATTGCAGGATTGTGCAAAAAGCATAACTACTTCAGCCAAGTAAATAGGATAGTTGAGTTTCACTAAGAGCCCAGTTAGCATTTCTCAGCCAACTGGTTCCTTTACTGAAAGATTAGAAAAGGCATTTTTTATTTCTCAAATACATGAGAACTGCGCATCTTTGTATTAAGAAGGAGAATAGACAGTCTGATTACAATCCATTCGTTAATTATACAAGTCTTAGTGTCAATTATTGAAAAACGGAGGGAAGAAGTTAATATGCACAAGTACAGCACTACAGACAACAGCCGTGCATATTCCAACCAAATGTCCGTGAAAATGCCAGTTGAGTGCCACAAAACATACACCAACTTAAAGACCCAAGGAAAAAAGAACAGAGTTCATTCCAAATCGGATTACGGGAAGCGAAGCTGGGAGGGCCAGCTTGTCAAGAGATGAATAAGGGCGCAATTTATTAGTACAAATTATTATAAACAGCACTGGTTGGCACGGCCCCGCGAGATCCAGCCAGAAAGCAGCGGGACCCACGCGCCAGCGCCTCAGCGTGAGGCCAAGCGCGGTGCGAGGTGGGTAAATGGGTTTGGATGGGGGAGGAGGCATGGAGCGCACCGGGCGGCGCAGAGGATGCGCGGGCGACGAGATCGGGCGGGAAGAGCGCTGGATCGGAGAAGAAGGCGCGGAGGCGGAGGGCGTGCGCGGAGCGGCCGTCCTCCTGGAGCTCCTGCAATAGCTCTAGCGCCGTGAGGTGATACCGCTCCTCCAGCAAGAAGTTCACCACGCAGTTGCACAACGAAGCCCACCGCTCGTCCGCTGCACCACCGCCCACCGGTGCCATCCTCCTCGGTATCGGGCGGACCTACCTCGATCGCGGTGAAGCTCGCCGGCGTCGTTGTGTGGCATGTGGGCGTGGCGGAAGGCACAGATCTCACGCGTGCGAGTCAGGCCCGGTCCTGTGCTTTCGGTGGCCTAGAGCGAAAATAAAGCTTAGGGCCTTTAATTTTACCAATTTAATTTAAAATAGAGCTGTGCGAAAATATAAAAGCTCAATAGCCAAACCAATTGAGAATACTGCATTTGATGAGGATGATTATGTACAACTATTCTAAATCATTCAGCGTCAAAGGGCATTAGGCATTAGTCCCAATATCTCAGCACCACGACATGCTCAAATACCGATTAGTCAACTAAATTATCATAAATAGAACCCAAAAGGAAATCAAAGAACTCTATCTCTATCTACAACTAAAAAGCCTAAAAACAATCATTCACCCGGCAGATTCATCCCTCCATCCCTTCATCCCGTCCCGATAAAAAGTCTACTTGGCGGTAGACAATCCCAAAGAAAATCTCCAGTCTGTGGCAGTCCTCCTCCCAAAAAAAAAAAAAAACACGCACACATGGCATCCCCTCAAAAAAAAACACGCTGGAAGCTCCATCGACACCGTCGGACACGCCGTCGCCTCCATGATGTTGCCGCTTCGCGCCGAGCGCCCGCCGAACGCCACGACGCCTTCACAACCTACACTGCCGCCTCAACGCCTCCCTGACCTGCGCCGCCGCCGCCACTCCACAACGTTCCACGATGTTGCTACTTCGCGCCGAGCACCTGCTGGACACCACAACGCCTTCCTGACTCAATGACGGAGCTAGATAGGGGTCCATGTGGTATGTGGACCACCAAGTAATTTTGGCCAAAGACTACTACCCAATACTAATTTTAGCAGATGCAACTTCAAGACTCACTAGAAATATAGGTTATGTATGTGTTTGTCCGTTTGCATGCTGCCTAATAGTCAAGATATCGGGGTTACGTAAATGGGATTACCCAAAAGCTCGGCCCTAAGAGTCAATTAGGATGGCCCAGCTAAACACAACCACCTTGACCTCTTGCCCTCGAACCGTATGAGGCTCGCCTCAACCTCGCCCACCTCTCGACCTTGCACCGCGCGGTGCCCTCGACGAACTATAGCCTTAGCGCTAAGGAAAGGGTGAGAGGTGGGAAGATGCATGCAGTACGCCTACCCGGACAGGACACGCATCGCACACTACACCAAGTACAAAGAGGACGACAGCCCCTCCAGAACTAGGACAGAGTGTCGCCTCGGTCAGCAGCCTGCTGACGAAGAAGACCATACCAGGGCATAGCTACGTCACCCCGCGTTGCTCAGCACCGCCCAAATCCCATTCAGCCAGATGGACGGGCATACGATCACACCCACCACAACGGGAAGTCAGCTCTCACACTCTGACTGGATCCTATGTCTCTGATCTGACCCCAGGAGGTTGGGACAATGGGATCCCGACCCTAGGAGCAGGCAGCCCGCGATGGGATAGCCACTCTGCCCGTACAGTGACATCATAACTTCTCCCCGAAGAAGCGCAACGTCGGGACAAAAACCACGATGATAGCAAGCAAGCGATACCGGGCAAGGGAGTTGGTGAGCAACCACCACTCCTATTGCGTCGCCATGGCTGAAATAGTACCTCCACCGTGCGCCGTGCCTTGGCGTAAGAAACAATCTCACGACGACCATACCTCGACGTGCTGACAAGACCGGTAGGCTTACCAAGCAAGCAAAGTAGCTTTTCCCTCCCTCAGGCTCCTGGCCACTCGAGCCGGTATAATCCTACTCTTCTGCATGTAACCTGGCCCCCATGACTATAAAGGGGAGCTAGGTCTTCTTCCAAACGATCGATTTCCGCTCCTCGAACTCTTCCTACCAATAGGACTGTAGCATACATACCCCATGTTGTAAGCCTTTTGGAGCACTTTGGCATTGAGGAACACATACTCACAGGTCTCTGGCACTAGACGTAGTGAGAGGACCCACTAGGGTTTGCTCTTGATCCTCGATGAGAGTTGGGGATAACTTGGATTTGGGGTGGATTCGACGTTGGTTGTCCGACTACAACACCACAAGGGTTGCGCCTTAGCAACAGGTACACTGTCTTCGATTGGGATGTTTTTGTCGTGCCAAGAACACCTCTAAACCTGCTAGCAACCAAAAACAAGCAAGAACAAGATAAACAAGCAAATAACTTATAGATGGAAGATACAAAGGCGAATCTGAATCATGAATTGGGGTCTTGAATCAAGCAAATGAGTGGTCTAATTGACACATGAGTTCACAAAGGAAGTAGCAGTAGCTAGACTTACAACAAAAAAACCCAACCTCATTCTGGTGGCTTATAGGGAGGAGAGCACAAGGGGGCGTGGGAAACCCTAATTTGGGCAACCCTTAATGGATTCTAGTCAATACAAGGCCTAGGCCCAAGCTATAGGTCTATGCATCCTTTTGCTTGCTACGCACAGCTTAGGTAGAGTCTAATAGTGAGATTGGACCCATCTAAAAGAAGGCGACAAGCTCTTTCCAACAAGTCAAAAACCAACTTCATTGGATCTTGTATCAAAGAGTTATCGTATTTTTGATGGAGTCTTTCCTCTTGTCTCGATAGGAGTGGAGCGCCCCATTAATGATGATTCCCACTTGTTCGAGTGCTCCATCCTCATCGTAGGGTCTGAACATGAGCTAATGGGGTCTTGACCAACATTCCTAAGAATAAGACAATCATCACCATGATCAGTAACATCCAATTCTGAGACGACTTTGTATGAACAACAAGGAATGACTTTACCTGGTAATTAAGTTGTCGTGCTCGAGCTCTTGTCATCGGACCTTGTTTGTGTAGTAGGTGTGGTTGTATCAATGGAAGAGATGTCCTCATCATCCTCCCCTTCTTGCATTTGAGTCATCCTCGACTCAAGTTCATCCTCTTCTCCCAAATATGTCTTCAAATCTGCAATGTTAAATGTGAGGCTAACCCCAAAATCTGTAGGTAGCTCAAGTTTGTACGCATTATCATTAATCCTTTCTAACAGTTTAAAAGGACCATCGGCTCTAGGCAGCAACTTAGACTTTCGTAAATCTGGGAACCTATCCTTTCTCAAATGGAGCCTAGAGCCAAACTAGATCACTAAGTTCAAAATGACATGTTTCTTCCCTTTGCTACCAGCTAGTTTGTATTTTACATTCATGCACTCTATTTTCTCTTTAGTGGTTTCATGCAATTTAAAGATCAGTTCAACACGTTGTTTAGCATCAAAGTTCACTCGCTCCGAGGTCAGAAGAGGTAACAAATCAATAGGAGCACGTGGCACAAACCCATAAACAATCTCAAAAGGGCTTTTCTTAGTGGTTGAATGTTGTGAACGATTATAAGCAAACTCAACATGAGGCAAGCAATCTTCCCACATTTTTATGTTCTTTTTCAAAACAGCCCTAAGCAAAGTAGATAAAGTTCTATTGACAACCCTAGTTTGTCTATCAGTTTGGGGATGACAAGTAGTGGAAAATAAAAAGCTTAGTCCCCAGCTTAGCCCACAAAGTTCTCCAAAATGACTAAGAAATTTTACATCCTGATCAGAAACAATGGTGTTAGGCACACCGTGCAATCGAACAATCTCATGAAAGAACAAATCAGCAACATGTGTAGCATCATCGCTCTTATGACATGGTATGAAATGGGCCAATTTAGAAAATATGTCCACAACAACAAACACACTATCCCTTCCCTTCTTTGTTCTAGGCAGTCCTAAAACAAAGTCCATTAAATATCTTCCCACGGTGCACTTGGAACAGGAAGAGGCATGTATAAACCATGAGGATTAAGGCGTGACTTAGCTTTTTGGCATGTTGTGTAGCAAGCAACGAACCTCTCCACGTCTCTCCTCATCTTGGGCCAAAAGAAATGACCAGCAAGGATGTCCTCTGTCTTCTTGACACCAAAATGTCCCATGAGTCCTCCATGTACTTCCTGCAATAATAACAAATGCACGGAGCTAGCTGGAATGTATAGCTTGTTAGCTCAAAATACAAACCCATCAGTAAGGATGAATTTATTCTAAGTTTGTCCCTCTTTGCAATTCAGCGACACATCCTTGAAATCATCATCACGAGAATATTGTGCTTTAATTGTTTCTAATCCAAATATTTTGAAATCAAGTTTGGACAACATGGCATAACGCCTAGACAAAGCATCAACAATGATGTTTTCTTTACCCTTCTTGTCTTTGATGACATAAGGAAAAGATTCAATGAACTCAACCAATTTAACATGCCTACGGTTCAGTTTTGCTTGGCTATGAATGTGTTTCAATGACTCATGATCAGAATGTATAACAAATTCTTTGGGCCATAAATAATGCTGCCATGTTTTATGTTATAATTAAAGCAAGCAATTCCTTATCATAAGTAGAATAGTTTAGACTAGGCCCACTTAATTTTTCGCTAAAATATGCTACAGGTTTGCCATCTTGTAGTAGCACACCACCTAAACCAATTCCACTTGCATCGCATTCAAGCTCAAAGGTTTTATTGAAATCCAGAAGTTGGAGCAAGGGTGCATGAGTTAACTTATCTTTAAGTGTGTTGAAAGCATCCTGTTGGGCTATAGCCCAAGTGAAGGTTGCACCCTTCTTTGTGAGTTCGTGCAGTGGGGCTGTAATGGTGCTGAAGTCTGTGACAGAACCGCCCAATTTATACAAGATCAAGTACGGTTGTCCCCGCTAACACGTTGACACACCCATACTTTCACTCATATAAACCCGGTAGTCCGCCGAGTGTCCCGAAAGACCTCGGTAAATCAACATCACAACCAAGATCGCGTGATTAAGCAAATACACATCACATACATCGGGTTGCAGCGGAAATAATATTACAAAGGAGTTAACAATTAGTAGTACAAGTTTGGGGTTTCAAAACCGCTTAGTGAAAACAACATAGCTTTCAAATGATTACATTAATATAAGTTCCAAATATATTGCTAGCATAGTGA